AGAGAGAGAGAGAGAGAGAGAGAGAGAGAGAGAGAGAGAGAGAGAGAGAGAGAGAGAGAGAGAGAGAGAGAGGCCGCGTGGTGAAATCAGGCGCTTGTCAAAATAATCAAAGTGTAGAAACTGGCATTTTCCACAGGCAGGTCTGTGAATTTTTATCGAGTTTTCGCTTTTTGGCTGAACACCTTTCATGCCCTTAAAAATCCCATTTCTGTGTGGACGTTACTGAAAAACGTAGATCAAAGTCACAGAAAATGTATATTTTCGTACCCACGGACTCTCAAGATATATTTGTGTTCATATAACATTTCTCTTGTTTGTTTAATTTAACACTAAGAGTTGATTTTAACATCCAAAACGCTTCACATTTTATTGTTACTACGTACTAAACACAAAAGCTCCAGCTTATAGAAACGAACCCCGCCGCCCTCAGAACCCCGACCAAAAAAAAAACCCCAACCTCCCCAGTTATTGTGTCAATGCCCATCTTTTCATGAAAATATGGCTTTACCAAACAAGCACATATTACAGTCATAAGCATGATAAGGCATCCACTCTGTCAGCTTTGTTGACGTTATACTGAGCTGTGGAATGGATCAATCTGATCACAGGCCCAGTTTGTCACAGGCCCAGTTTGTCATAGGGTCAGTTTATCACAGGACCAGTTTGTCACATGCCCAATTTGTCACATGCCCAGTTTGTCACATGTCCAGTTTATCATGGGACCAGTTTGACACATTCCCAGTTTATCACAGGACCAGTTTGTCACATGCCCAGTTTATCACAGGACCAGTTTGTCACAATTACAGCATTTTAACACTGTAGCTGTAGTTTAAGTCTTTATTTTTCCACGTTCAAATTGATTGTGGAGAGATAGTCCCTCTAACATGTCAATTCAGCTTGTGTAGTTCAATAGTTCTTCCTTTTTCTATGCAGGTTAAAGCAAATTACTCTGTAAAAATTTCAACAATAAATGTTCTTTCGTTAAAAACGAATTAAAAATACAACTCAATTCATACAAGCAATCTATCAATCATTCGTTTACTCTTTTTGAGAGTGTCATTGATAACTTTCATCATGCAGGGCACGGTCGAGGCCGGGTGGTCCTGTGACAAACTGGGTCTGTGACAAACAGGGCCTGTGACAAACTGGCATGCCTCCATTCGAATCCTTTATCGAGGTCTCACGAACTGGATACGCCATGTCGCATTTTCATCTTAGCTTAGCCATATGGCAGATGACCGTTAAAACGAACGTCCCAGTTTGTTTTTTGTTGTTCTGATTTTTCTTTAAATTGTACTTTTGTATTTGAAAAATAACTGTTCAAAGGGACGATGAATCGTTCCTAAACTATTTTGAAATGCTGAAATTAGAAAGAACTAGAGGCTGATACAGGAAGCTTGTGCTAAAGGTGTTTTTTGAAGGATAGCCACGATTGAAAACAGAAGCTTGGAGTTGAATGTCTTCTTCGCTTTATTTGTATGTGTGTTTTGTTTTGTTTTTGCTCGGAAACGTCAGTCTCCGCCATGTCTTTTCTTTCCCGCCTTTTCAACTAACAAAGTGAGCAAAAAAGACAGACGATATTCCTATATAGAAGTGAAGAAGTAACAAACAGACTGCTGGGTGACAACTGGACGCCACTGAAGGCTTAATAAAGGCAGCAATAATATATCTCTGTGTCAAATGTCCATGGGGTCTACGACCGCTTCTATTTAAAGGGTAGCGTACTGAAATCAGGCGTCGAATCAAAGAAATCAAAGAAACAGGCATATTATATTTTTAGGTGCTTTGGGTTTTTCTTTCCTTCTATTTTTCCTTGTTTATGCTCAACGCGTGCTGTCCTTTTAAAACATATTTCTATGTGGATATTACCTTAGAAAGTTGATAAAAGCAGAAAAAAAAAAATCAGGTACAGATTTCAAGGGCACTCAACCTTTGGGAGTCACCAAATTTGGGAGAGAGCTTTCTCGCTAATTCTATTTTACCTCTCACGCCAGGCGTCACCCACCTCTGAAATCACAAAATATTCCACTCTTATCTGAAACAGATTGGTACCTTTTTGTCAAAAGCATGGCAAACCAACGATCGTTAATATGATAATAATAACTCTTTATGCCCAAAAATTGATGAGCCCCTCATTCCACCGCATTGCGACACATTTCGTCATTGCTCGTGTATTCTTTGTTTGATTGTTTTTTCCTTTTAATTCTCTTTACTCTTATCGTAGAGCTAAATAACGTTACTAAATACACATATGACAGAGAAATACACTCTTACAAAACATAAAAATACAACTTATGTATTCTCCCCTTTGTCTTGTTTTTCTTTTCAGATGGTCCTGTCTATGTAGGTCAAGATAATTCGAGGTGAGGAAAAACAAGACAGCAATGTGCGGCGTTTCCTCAACGTAAGTCTTCCTTGTCCCCCCTTGGGCCTGCACAGCATCCTATGACAGGGGTAAAATGTCTTCCGATTCCAACAACCCGTGCTCCGCTGTTGTTTCAGCAGACGATGTTCCGGCTCCAGCGAATACTACGACAGCAACAGCGGCTTCCATCGCCCTCACTGGCGTCAACAACAAAAACGGCAGCAGCACAATCATCAACAGGTCGGCAACAACAACAACAACAGCACCACCACAAACAACCACAACGTTAGCAACAGCAACAACAACGACAACCGCCACCACCACAGCAGCAGCAGTAGCAGCAGCAACAACATCTGCAGCAGCACCCTCTCAGTCCACCTCCAGCAGCACAACCACCAACAACACCCTCAGCCCCTTCGACCTGAGCGGTCTCGGGATGGGCTTTGGTCTCTACAGACCCCGACGGCCCAGCTACACGTTCGCTACCAAGTGCAACAGGCAGAGAAACGAAAGTTACCGGCATGCAACTCGCCGGGAGAACCTCGACTCTACCTCTGAGCCCATGAGCGCTGACGGCGACTTTATCGAGGACGTGTTACGGAGCAGAACTCGTAAGATCAGCTACATAAAAGCCACTAAATTTTCGGAGGAGTACGGTTCTACGTCAGCCTGTGGGGTGAGTACTTCTCACGTCATCGTTCCTGGCTCTGACGGCGACGACGATGATGATTATGATGACGATGATGACGTACTAAGGATCGAGGACGGCACAAGGGGAGGTTCACAGCTAAGCGTTCATTCAAGGACTTCTGGATTCGAGACCATTAAAGTTACTCTGAATAACCATTCGGATAATATCCTCACAAATGCAAACAACGACGAAGACGTAGTTTTCTGTGAAAGTCAAAACTATCTGAATCACAAAAGTGCCCAAAATTGCCCTTCGCTGCAGGGGTCGAAAGTTAATAGTCTCGGGCGAGGAGACTCCAAAAGCACCGGAACGTGGAGATCTTCTCGATTCAAACTTGAAGGATCTAAAAATGTTTCTAACATTATATCTACGTTCACTTTTCATAAGAATGTAATAGTTCTTTGTTGTAGTTTTATCTTAGTTTTTTCGTCATTCCAAGCTATTCAGAATCTTCAATCCTCCATGAACTCCGAGGGAAATCTCGGCATATATACGATGATGTCAGTTCATATCGCCATGATATTCTCCTGTCTCGTGTCTCCAATCATCATCAATCTTTTCACTGCTAAATGGGCTCTGTGCATAGGAATCCATTGCTTTCTGATTTGGTTCGGCGCAAACTTTCACCCAACGTTTTACACGTTAATTCCGACCTCTATGTTTGTTGGGCTGGGGAAAGGGATATTGTGGAGTGCTGAAAACGCTTACGTTTTAAGACTCGCCTGTGAATCTTCACGGGTGAAGAGAACAACTTTGGAAAGTGAGATGTTCCGTTTTCATGGGATTTTTCTTGCATGTTTTCAAACAACGCATATTTGGGGCAATCTCATTTCATCCTTGGTGCTCTCCTCCCACGCAAAAGAGGTATCCCCGCCTATGAGCTTTCCAGATATGGGCGGGGCAGACGGCAGCCCGGGATATGAAGGAGAAGGTGCTGATGGAGGAGTAGCGTACCCGGAGCTTCCAGCCAACCAGAGTTCTTCTTACTACAGCAGTTACGACAGGAACTACGAGGGCGGGGGTATGTCGGGAGAGATGCCTCCCATGCTGCTCATGTCTCAGTGTGGGGCGTTGCACAGATGTGGTAAAGCAGCCATGACTATCTTCCCAGGTGTTATGCAAGGTAAGACACGTTATAGACTGTAATGACTTAGTATTGTAAATCCTTGACGGGACAATTGGTCCCCCCCGGGCAGTGCCACTGACTGAAGTGTCTTTAGGCCATTCCCAAAGAGAGGACATTTCTCGTTCTAATGCACAGTAGAATTGTAAATGGGCTGATCGAACAATGTGATGCTCATAACTGTGCCCGAACTACAGCAGGGAACAGTTGCTTTTTCTTTCCTCATTCTTACTATCGTCATTTTCCTCTACTTTTTTTGTATGTTTGTCACACTCTTGTGACCTGCTATTTCCGGGGTGCCTTGATAGTCAAAGCAGACCTTGTGCTGCTGAAGCTAGCGAGGTGAGCAGAGTAAGTCTGATTCCCTGTAAGGATTCTCTGTTGACATCCACCTCTTGGCGTTTATATGACCTTATGTAGTTGCGAGTGCCGAAAGACCTCTACTAAAACTAAAAATTGGTCACTTTTAAGCGTTAAGCACAAGAGGGTTATCCCGAAAATTGCTGTTTTGAGAAAATCGAAGGTAAAGTTTTTGCCTCTTGTTCAGTTTCTTTAAAAGACAAAGAAAGTTTCCCTATAACCAAAAACATATACACACCAATGAAACCAAAACTTCCCCCATACGTAGGATAATGCCCACTTTTGGTGAAGGTGAAGATTTCTGGAAAACTCCAAAATCTAGGTTAGCCCGTTTGTCCTTAAAAGCGACGAATTTAGCACATTTAAGAGGGGGTGCTTACTTTAACCGTGCCTGTTAGAGATAGGCTAAGTAGAGCTAGATATAGCATGATTGTCAGCAGAGAGAAACAGGCACTTGAAAGAGCAGCAGACTCCAACAAAAGGGAACCAAATTGAACTCTTTGCCTGAAAGGTTTCAAGCTTTAACGTCACAGCCTGGCTAGACACTGTGGTATCACCGAGGAATTGACTTTTGAAAGAGAGTTAGTGCGGGACACTTTGCATTGAACAGGACAGCTTATTTCTGAAGAGCACGGTTCGCAACGGCAAAGGAGTGCAAGTTCCTTTTTCAGTACATTCCAATAAAGTAAAGATGATATTTGTTGCCACCACCAACAACAGGCGGTCATTAGTGTTTTGGCAAATCGGTGGCAATCTTTTTAAAATGGTCTAAGAGCAGAATGAACAATTTGTTAGAAGAGAGAAAAACGAAACAGAAGACATTTTATTCACAAATACCTCAACCAGAAGCTATGACTATTTACAAACGATCCTTTTCCACTATGACAACGACCAAATTTATTAATCTTTAAAGAAAAGAATTAGTAGGAGTTTTACAGCACTTGCAACACAATAAGGTCATATAGATGCCGAAGATTAGATGTGTTACAAGAGAGTAACAAACAAACAAAAAAGGAGGAGGAGAGAGAAGGGCGATAGTTTTTTTTTATAGGAAAGAAGGAGCAAACCACATCAGAGCACCCGCCTCCACCCACCATCAATCTCTAAAGAGAGAAAAATTAAATCTTGTAGTGATGAAGAAATGGAGACGCAACAGTCATGCCGCTTCCTAAATAACCTAAAAATGCCGAAAAGAGGCGGAAAAACGTGACCCACCCCACTCGCCTTTTCCTTCAAAACGATCACGACCCTCTTCCACGCGCATGTGAGCGAGTACTTAAAATGCTAATGTGTTGGTGGTCGCCCTCTAGATCGGCCGCCATGATAGCCAACGGCGGAGTCCCCCGATGGTGATTAGTAACCTCTAAAACGGGGTGCTCACTACGGCTGGATCGGGCCGATCGCCTGAAACTGAAAACAAACACGTTTGTTTTTGAGGCGATCGAGAGGGGCGATCGGCCCGATCGGTCGATCCCAGCCAAAGTGAGCACCCCGTAAAATAATAGTGTAGCCCTAGAGAGTTCTCGTCTCAAACGGTCTACCCGTCATTACCAGGGATCAGTTCGGGTCTTGTGCTTGTTTTCCTTTAGCCTTTCTACGAGGCTCAATTACTCATCGAGAACATGCGTTCCGCTCTTTTGACGACACCCGAAGTCGCGTTGTGCTTGGGCACTGAAATTAAAACATCTATCTATAGTTACTCATATAAATTTTTGTAGTGATTTAAACATGTTTCCCCGTTATGTTAATTTTTGTTAGTGATTGTATGTTTGTTGTTGTTTTTTGTTGTTGTTGTTGTTGATGTTCTTTTTAAATTCTGAAGCATTAAAAATGTTAAACAACTACTTGTGCACTTTGAAATGGGCGCCTCTGGTAGGTCCTACACTTTTTTACTTTCCCTTTGGTGTTTCTGTCTGTCCCTCTTACGTTTGCCCAGCACTACATGACCATTATTTTACTCAAAGAAAATAAATATCTTCCCTGCTTCTGATTGATGTATAGTGTTTTAAAATGAACTACACAATTTCCTTTGCTCTGCTGAAGAAGGAGAAGGATGCGAAAGAGACAAAAGAAGAGAAGGATAGGGGGAAGGAGTAGTAAGTGTAGCATTAGGACATCCAGATCGAAACTGAGAGTGAGATAAGGAGGAACAACAAGAGAGATAAGGGGAGAAAGATGAATAGACAGATAAAGAGCGAGAGAGAAAAGAGAGAAAGATAGAGAGAGAGAGAGAGGGAGAGAGAGAGGGAGAGAGAGAGAAAGAGAGAGAGAAAGAGAGAGAG